GATTTTTGCTTACAATCTAAGTAATAGACACATACACACACATACTCATATTGTGCTAAGACTAAATACCATTAGAGAACTTTGAGTATACAACTGAATTAATTTTCTATCACACCAACAAATAAAAACTTTGGTGATGGTTTTTGATGATCTCTGGTTTTAAAATTTTGAGATTTGGGTGGTTATGAAGTGAATAAACCCCAGTGATGTGAGGGTAAAGTTTCTTTGCTCCTCAATCCGCTTGAGGATCTCCAAGAAAGACAGCTCCTGGTTCATGTCTACATGGTGATTGCAAATCTCGACTTTTCTCCTTTTCTTTCCATATGGATTTTCTTCTTCCTCGACTCCAATACTTGCTATAACTCTCTGGACCTCCTTAACAAGTTCCTTGACAAAATTGGCTTCAGAGCTGCCATAAAATTAGCATACCTCAACTCATAATCTAATTCTTCAGTGCATTATAATTAGAGTGTCTAAAGAGCAAAAAGAGAAAAAGGGAGTGTAAGTTGAAAATACCACTTGTGTCGGAGATACACTCTAAAGCTGCTTTCCATTTCTTGATCTGATTTCCTTTAGAAACCTTCGCGAGTGTCCAAAAGTTGTCACCAAACTCACCTATCTGTTTCTTAACGTCTGTTGCCCTCACTTTGTAGAACATCGGTATGACTTGAAGCATTTCTTGATCCGCAAGTTTCTTCATCTTCACCAACTCGTCCAGGCACTAACTCAATTCTGAATACCTATAATTGAGACGATGCTGAATCTTGTTGAATAGTCTGAAGTATAATTAAGAGCTAAAGTGAAAGAGTATACTAGAAACCTTGTAGACAAGACGGATATCGCGATGCTCGACTCTTCTATCCTAACAAATAGATTTTTGAGCTGCAATGTATATCTGTGTATCCTTTTGGAACCCTAATGCTTTTAGGACCAAAAACTCCTCCTCGGGTGTTAATGGACACAGCCCTTGCACTCTTCTCTGCTCAGACACTATCTCTTTCTCTCTCCACCAAGGATATGCATACCTAAAACACATAAAGAAAATCATTAAATCAAGATTTTGAAAAAAAAAAAAATCAAGCTAGAACATTTTTTACCTCATTTTTTAAGTTCTTCAGCTTCTTCCTCGGTGCAACCCAGTGGCGGACCCAGGAAAAAAATTTACCTAGGTCAAAATTTTCATTAGTTATGTTATTGGGCTTGAGGCCCAGATAAAAAAGAGATTAAAACTAAAAATAAGTGCATAAAAAAAGCTTGAACCAAACATTTGAGCTGCTGAATTTTCATATCAATAAGCGAAACATTGTAGTTTATATTTGTTTAAGGTGGGTCAGCTGACACACATTCTCTCTACGTGGGTCCGCCACTGGTGCAGCCATAAGTTCTTCGGTTTTCGTCTCGTTTCTGTCCCGTATCCGTTCCGGTGCAACTGATCCAATTCCGGTTTTGCTAATTGGCCTGATCTCGACTTGGTCAAATGGCGGTTAAAGAATTCGGGTTACTGAAAAGGAAAAGAAGTAACCAAACACTCTTATTGTATCAGAGGGTTTGTAAATAAGACAAAACACTGGATTTGCCTTTTGTTTCTTCTTGTCCATGTAAAATTTTAGATTCATTCGTATCTTTATTTCAGTTCTTATTATACGAGCTCGAGAA